TTATTGCCAGAAATGAAAACAATATCAAAGGAAATGCTAGATCTTTCTATGGAAAAGAAACGAAGCGAGGAACAAAAGCTGGGAAGTGAGTCGGCTTTTGCGGCCACTGTCACTTGGTCTGCAACCGCCGCCAAGCCCTCTACTTAGTGAGCCACCGCCGACAAGGATACTGAGGTCTTTTTATAGCTTGAAATTACCGCCAAGCCACCGTCAATCTTAGTTAGGATATAACTTGCTTCATTGTTGTAGTAATATAGTTTTTTTATCTCTCATGGGGTTTTTTTCAGGGGGTTAAGATTTGAAAAGGAAGACGAGAGGCAGTAGAAATGTGTATAGTGGAGGCTAAAAGAAAACCCTATTTCATGTGGCCCTTAAATAGTGACCATTTAAAAGAGAAAAAAAAAATAAAAAATTATATAACGGGTCAGCGGGTACCCGGTTAAACAAATGTCTGGCCCATGACCTGACCCGCTAGCATGTGATTTTACCTGGTCGGTACCCGACCCAAGAATTTCAAGATTTAATATAAAACTACTCTGTTATGTTATGCGTGTCATCGGGTATTTCGGGTCAGGCTTTTTTGAACACCCCTACTGAAAACCATCGACCATCCCTTCCCCTGCCCTCCCTATCGTCTTATTGCTGCTCCCTTGAAAACCATCACCAGAATTGCGAAGCTGAGAACTTGGAAATTTGATAACATAGAAATTGTGAACCTGAGAACTTGATTGGAAATCGCAAACCTGCTGCTCCCTCGTGGCTTGTGTCGGAATCTTAGGCGGCAAAGAGATTGGGAAATTTGGAATCTTTAGTAGGGGAAGGTATGGGCGACGATTTTAAAGGGAGGAGGATGATTTTCTAGGGTTTAAGAGGGTCGGGGAAGGTTTTTTGAGGAGGGGAGGGAGAGATGCAACGGGTTCCGACGAGGAGTGGGGGAGGTGTGGCGAGTTTCGGCAAGGTGTCTAGGCGGTGGGGGTAACCGAGTAAGGTAGTGGCTGGTGTGGGTATGGTGGATTGGTGTTGTGATGGCTTAGGAAATGGAATAGAAAAGTCTGGGGGTGGGAATAAATGTAGAATGATTTTGGGTAAAGGGAATGAAAAAATGATAAACAAACAACAACAAAGGGAATGAGGCATGTTCATTCCCTTTCCATTTGATTATTAACCCTAACCAAACGGCCCCTAGGTAGTTTTAAGAAATATGAAGTATTGAGTTCAAGACTCAATTTGTCAACAGTTGACAATCAACATATCTTTTTGTTTTATATACTAATAAATGATGGGACTCATCAATGCATGGTGTAATTTAAGTACAAATTAAAAGAAAATAACTTGGTTTTATGGTGCATTAGATGCTTAAATATACCTAACAAAGTATAAAAGTCTAAACACTTAAAGAATGAATCTTAAAGTTATGAGATGATGTATGATAAAAAATATAAGAAACAAGGAACAAAAGAATGGAATTCAAGATTCCAATTCTACCCACGAGTTCATGTTATTATTGTAGCTAACTTGGCATATTATCTACACCGACATTATATATTGCTTGAGCGTCTCACTTTAGTAGAAAACTCAAAGCTATAGAAGTGAAGCTAAGTTATTAACATATGAGCTAGAAATGAAGCAATGCAAGTTATGATACATGAGCTATAAGGTCATCTAGTTTGGATCATATTAAATTCCTTTTAAAGCTAAGGCTAGAACAAATAACGGTTATTGTTTTCCATAATTGTTGGTTTTATTTGGATGACATGGTCGTTTGAGCTATGAGTAAAAGATGCTTGATTATAAACAAACAGCTCCCACAAAATACTAAGCTAGGTAGCATCTAATGAGTCAAAGATGCTTGATTATTATTGAGACAGCCTGTTAATTTGATTAATTACAATATTAGTTATTGATTGTTGTGTTTTGTCCAGGAGTATTAATTATTAGTGAACCTATATCCTCATACTTTTGTTATTGATATTTATGACCCATAGTTTATTTATTGTCGTAGTCTAATCCTCACAAAAATATTCATTCTTGATAATTTAGATCATAATATTTCTTTTATATGACCCAATATTGGGTAAGTAGTGATGATGTGGCATAATGAAAGCTAGAGTGGGTGACATGGCGTGGTTTACGTGGCACAGAGATGTTATTAGTAACGCCTTTTAATAGATTAGTATAGATATAGATTGGACTATACTTTGCTATCTATCTTAGTAAGTAGTTTTAGGAATTACTTTTGATTAGGTGATACGACTTTAGCACGCATGTGAGTGATACCAAAAAAAAAGGAGTATTTGAGATTATATGTACCCTCTTCATACGATAATATAATGTTTATTTCATTTTGTTTGGTTGTAGACCAGGATTAAAATTTGACTATTAATACTACGTATCTTAAATTATGTTTTCAACAAATATAATACAGAAAAAAGTTGATATTATTAATCTTCACTTTGAGGCATATTATCTCACATGACTATGTTTTAATTTATTTCATATACTTTGTCCGTTACTCCATCTTAAACAACTATTATCATTTTAGAAAACTTCACACATTTTGAAACATTACCATGTTTGCACATGATTTTTTTTAATCCCTTATTATATGTGCCCGTATTTATTCCTAGAGCTTGCCTTTTAATAGATTGATAAATATTATTTTAATGGAAAATTGGTTTACTTTACTAAATGAAAGTAATAAAAATTTGAACGTATTCATATTCTTGCATATTCGCAAGACATCAGATCTAGAAATTTAAACAATCAACTCAGAAAGATAATGATACATTGGTACATTAGAAATATAAATTGATAATAAATTGATTAAAGGAAATTAGAAATAAAGAGAAAGAAATTTTCAACTTGAGGAGGATGGTGGGGTACGTAGCTGTGAGGAGGAGAGACTGAGAAAGAAGCCGCCACTAGCTGCCATTGTCAACTTGGGAGTGAGATTTTTTTATTCTAGATCTGAGAGGAGAGAGAGAGAGAGATTGAAAGAGGTGGTGGGGGTTATGGGATTGATATTACGGCTATTTCACCAAATGTCACTGAGTAGTCACAAAATTCATTGAATACCATCAAAGTTTTCAAAATTCACCAAATGTCACTAACAAACAATACAATGACACCTCGTGCCACTAATAGCATATGGACGTTAGTTTTTCGTTAATGCAGTTCTTATTTTACCAAATGCCATTACTTTGGAAAATTATTTCACCAAATGTCATTACTTTTTAAAATTAATACACAATAATTATTTATTTTAATGAATAAAAATAATACTTTTTTTAAAAAAATTTCATGACGAATAAGGTTTTGGGGTTCATTTTGACCCTTTATGAATACAAATTAAACTCGAAATTGGCTAAAAAAACGTAAATAGCCCGTATTGCATTTTTTTCTGAAAAAAAAATATTACGATATTGACATACAAAACGGGGCATATATGTTTTTTTAGTCAATTCCGAGCTTAATTTGTTACCATAAAGGATCAAAATGACCCCCAAAACCTTACCCGATCAACTTTGATGGTTAAAAATAACGACACACTAATCGAAATAATTTTCAACACAAAAAACGGAGCATTTACGTTGTTTTTTTTTGTCAATTCTGAGCTTTATTTGTATCCATCAAGGGTCAAAATGACCTCTAAAACCTTACCCGATCAATTTTGATGGTTAAAAAATAACGACACGCTAATCAAAATATTTTTCAACACACAAAACGGAGCATTTATGTTTTTTTTTTCTCAATTCCGAGCTTAATTTGTGTCCATAAAAGGTCAAAATGACCCCCAAAACTACACCCGAGTAATTTTTGCCACGAATATGAAGTAAAAAAAATTAATTTTATTAATTAAAATGAACCAATCATATTATGACACGTGTCAAGACTTAATCTTATTGACTAACAGAGTTAACGGTCGTTAGTCAATGATGGCATTTGGTGAATTTTTTAAAAGCTTAATGGCATTTGGTGAATTTTGAAAACCTTGATGGCATTTGGTGAATTTTTGAAGTACTCAGTGGCATTTGGTGAATTTTTTAAGTACTCGGTGGCATTTGGTGAAATAGTCGTTGATATTATGGTTTCTAGTTAGGCCTTTACTTTTACTCTTTGAGAGTTTTGAAACCTTTTTTTTTTCATTTGGGGATTGAAAATCTAAAATATGCGGAAAATTAAGTAATGTTGGATATTGGATATCCAAAATCCAAATTTTGGATATTCGATATATGATTTGATTTTCGTTTTTTTATCTGATCACTTGATATCGATTTCGAATCAAATATCTATAATTTTCGGATCGTATGCTAATCAGAACATCAGATCTTTGAATTTTCAGATAGTTTTCCTTAGCACTACCACTATATTATGGTTTGGAAAAGGAAAGTACAGGACTGTGAAAAATGTGTAACTATCCTAATGAACAATAAATAAGGCCTTGTTTGGTTGCACGTCAATAATGGTGGTTTGTAAAACATGAGAATTAATTTACCCCACCGTACCTTAGTCAATCAAACTTACCAAATTTATTTTTTGATGAAATGACATTATTTCCATAAAAAAATTTAGGAAAGTAGTTCAAGTTATAATAATTGATGGAATTACATGAAATTAAGCAAAAAAAACAATAAAAATTAAGTTATAGGAAATACAATTTCCCTTTATTTCCACCAAACATAATTTCATGCATTGTAACTTCGTATAAGTATTCAATTCCCATATGCAACCAAACGAGGCATAAGAAAATTAAGACTATTTATTCCCTTTACCCTTTATTGAAGACCCCACATAGTGATATTCATCTAGGAAAACATATCATTACGTGCAATTTAATAATAATGTGTACTCTTTAATATATTTAATTATATATCTTTTTTTAGAAATAATTAATTATATGTCTTTTAATCATAAATGTATTGTTAAAAACTAAAAAAAAACAACATGAAACAACATAAACAAACCAAGATTACATCGTTTAATTTAGGTCTCAAATAGTAAACATAGTTTAATTACTAAACATAATTAATTATTTTTGTTTTGAGTATCAATTTTCGAGGCGCTTGAGTGCTTATCAATCATTACAAAATCCAGTGGCTTCGGAAAGCATTCATCTAAACCGGCTTCAATGAATGATTGAATGTCAGACTTTGCTTCAGAAGTTGTCATGCCAAATATTAAACACTTAACACCCATAGCTCGCAGCTCTTTAGTTGCCTTTGCATAAAAGAATAAAATTAAAAATCATTATACATAAATTATCATGCACTATTGTTATTGGAATATATTACTATTATTTATAAGGTAAGAACGCAAGGATGGTAAATTTCCTTATTTATTATCATGCATTATTGTTATTGGAATGCTACAAACATTAAATATATTAGTATTGTATATGTTAAGAATGCAAGGGGGATAAATTTTCTTATTTCATTCAATATCATACATTACTGTTATTGGAACGCTAGCTATAAAAATTAAATTCTTTTTTATTAATTTGAATAATGGAGAATGAACAAGATCGTGAATATAATGATATATATAGTAATTAAACTAAATATACCCAAATTTTATGTAATATTAGCTAGGGGAACATAATTCATATTGTATATATAATTTGAATGGTTCCAATTTATATAATCTTATATATATGCACTATCACCCAATTATTATATATTTTCTAATTAAGTCAAAATGTAATAATTATCATAATTGATTTATTTATTGCCCTTTTGAAACTTTTTTTTATTAATAACCATAAATAATTAACAGTGAGATGTTAACACCAATATTTATAAAACTAATAAAATCATCAAGATAATGCACAAATAATTACCTGAATCTCATCCATTACTGGCAATTTCATTTCCATGATAACAACATCAAAAGAATTTCCTTCATTGAAAATATTTACGACCTCTTTGCCATTTTCCACAAACTTAGTTTCAAATCCTTTCTTATTAAGAAAAGCTTGTTCAATCTTTCGAACAAGAACGTTATCGTCTACAATTAAAGCAGTGAACTTCTTCACATCACTCATGCTACTATCTCCAACCATTTTAGACATGTCTGAAAAGCACACATAATAACAACAAAAAAATGATAGAAGAATTAGCTCATATAAAAAGTAATACAATAGTTTTATAGAAATGAAAATTTTTAATAATTCAATTCTAAGTTAAAAACATGCATTATTGGATTAGAGATAAACTCTCTCTAATCTAATTTCATGGAAAAAAAATTGTATAAAAGCATAATATAAGGAGAAGGATGATTTTTGAAGAAAAATATTTAAAACTACCTTTTTGTCGATGAATTGAAGAATACATGGTTCTTCTCTTACATTTATATTTAAAAAAAATCATGCACAAAATCAAAATGATCTTGAGAAACAATACCCGATTTGATACGATTTATTTGATATGATATGTATGATTTTGATTTATATTACAGACCTAAAATCATAGTTGTTATTTGCTTCGCATCATCATGATTTATTAATATACTTCATAGCCAAAGTTGGTTAACTTTATGATTAATAATCTAAAGGATTTTTTTACTTTTACCGGCAAAAAAATCATAAAATTGTTTTTTACTACCAAAAATTTTAAAACTTTTATTTTACCACAAAATTAAAATTAAAAATTATTTTTTACACCTTCCGTCAAAAACCTATTGGAATTTTTTTAATTCTTTGATGCCAAACACATTATTTTTAGGGGTTTTGGGGGGGTATTTTGTCCCATTGAATCAAATTTGAGGTCAAAATTGATAAAAAATGATCGGAAATGCTTCCTGTTGCGTGTTTAAAAATATATCAATATGTGTGAAACTTACAAAACGAGGCATTTCCGATCATGTTTTGTCAATTCTGACCTCAAATTTGATTCAATGGACCAAAATTCTCCCTAAACCTATGAACAACATGTTTTGCACACGAAAATCGAAGAATTTTTTTAAATCGTTAAATTTAACGGTTTTCTTGACGGTAGGTGGTAAAAATTAATTTTTAGAAATTTTTTTGGTAGTAAAATTAAACTTTTAAAATTTTTGTAGTAAAAAACAATTTTGTGATTTTTTTGGTGGTAGTAGTAAAAAAATCCTAATCTAATTTTTTTTCATACGGATTTACATGGATACTCTACCAAATTACATTATTAATTTGGCTAAATGATAAGTTTTTATTCAATATGATTTTAGGGTGATTTTGTACCTTGTTTAATTGATAAATTGGTGTTTTGGTTCGCTTTTACTCTATTTTCGTGCAATTTTTGTGTATCCTTTGCTTCACGGGTTGTTAGTGTTTTTGTTGAGTTTTTAGGTCTAAAGACGACCATTTGAAGTATATGGATTAAAAACCGAGGTTAAAAGCCATGACAAAAGAGAAAACTGAAGAAAAAGTGAAGAAAAGGGCCTAAGAGAGCCTGCACGGACGTGCCATACCTTACACGTCCGTGCAGGAGTGCTTCATAACAATCAGGAACTTCAATTTGCAGCTTTCATAGTCTGCACGTCCGTGCAGAATTAGGCACGTCCGTGTAAGATACTCAGCACGTCTGTGCCAAATCCTGCACGTTCGTGTAGCCTGCCTAGCCCAAATCAGTTTCAAAACCGATTCTAATGATCAAGGCCTGCATGTCCGTGCCATATGTGGCACGTCCGTGAAGGATTCCCAAGCCAAATCAGTAGCTTCTGATTATAGTCCTCCGGCTCTGCATGACCGTGCATAAGGTGGCACGTCCGTGCAGCTTAGTCTGGACGTTTGTGCCAAGCCTAGTACGTTCGTGCAGACCTGCAGGCGTGCCCGAATATTGTTTTCTCCGTTTTCTTTATTTGGGGTCTTATAAATACTCCCCTTTTAGCTCATTTGTAAGGGCATCCAAGTTTTTAGAGATTTCTCTTAGTTTGTAATCTTAGAAACACAAATATTCTCAAATCATTAGTTAGATTTTAATTATTAGTTTGGAAATTTCAATCTCAATCATTGTAGAAGACAAGTTCCACCATTGTTATTCAAAGTTGAAGCTTTTAGTAACATTTCTTACTCTTCTCTTCCATTTTAATTGCTTTGATTGTTAATTATTTGCTTAATTCTTGTATGCTTAGATTGTTAATTAGCTTAATCTTTAGTTTGAATCTTGTTCATGAGTAGCTTGAAAACCATAATTGCTTTAAACTCCATGGATTGTGAGTAGTCTAATTTTCTAGGGTTTGGGTAAAACCCTTAATGTAGTCACTAATTACTTGTTTCATGTGTTAATTTGGTAATTTTTGGGTGTTAATTAGTTGAGCTTAAGTGGTTTTATTTCTTAGTTCATTCTTGTATATGGGCATTGCTAGAACTATTATCCAAGCTTTCTCAACGAAGGATCGAGAGATGAACTTGAGTTAGCTCTCTTATGCTTAATTGACTTGAAATGCCATGAGAATAGGAATTTCCAGTCAATGGAATGTTTTTGTCATCATTATTATGCTTTAATACTTGTTTATGCTTTGTAACCACGAGAGTAGGTTGTATTCATGATTCAAGTAATCCCTCTAGCTTGAGAGAGTAATTGGGTGCTTTAGATGACTTCCCCTATATTACCCCCTTAATTTACCATTGTTTGTTGCATTCTATTTGTGATGAAGTTGAGTGGTATATCCTGAGCCCTATAATCCTCTAAATATTGTTAATCACCCCTTAGTTGTAGTTGATTTGAATTGGTTCATGTTACATAAAACCAACCCAATATTGACTTCATTTAGCTTATTTAAACGGTAGTATCTCGGTGGTTGATTCAAAGCCTCTCTTTGGTTCGACCCTTAATTACCGTTTCTATTAGCTAGTGAGACCAAGATAGGACTTTTATCTTTGGTAGGCTCAACGACGGCCTATCAAATTTTGGTGCCGTTGCCGGGGATGCAAAGTAACATTGAATGTATTATTGTTGAATGAGTCTAAGTGTGTATATTTGTATCGTAATTTTTCTTATTTATTTTTTCTTAATTGCGTTTTTAACTTGTGATAGTCATTGCTAACGTTTTCTTAGTTTTGTTTGACTTTGCATGACATGAAATAATAAGCAATCATCGCTTATTCCCATGGATTTAGAGTTGAACAAGACCTTAAGGAACGTAAGGAGACTCTTGCAAGTTACTCCGGAATTCTCCATTGTCTATTCAGATTCCAAATTGGAATAGGTTATCAGGAACAACGAAGAAGACAACATGGGTGATAATGATCTTCCTCCTCCTCAACCGTTGCTTCGAGATTATGACCACTCTAAACGCATTCCAACTACAAAGTGACATACATCTCCCCACTACAAATGCAAATAATTTTGAGCTTTCACATCAACTTATCCATATGATCCAAAGTGATTAAGTTGGTGGTAAATCTCATTAGTGTCCTTTTCTCATTTGGACAACTTTCTCGAGTTGTGCACGACCATCAAGCAAAACAACATTACGGAAGAGTGCATCCGTATGCACATGTTTCAATTATCCCTCCGTGACAAAGAAAATAATTGGTTGAGAATGGTAGAAGAGGGATCATTGAGCACTTGGGATGAAGTCACTAGAGCTTTCCTTAGAAAGTATTGTCCCCCCAAAAAGACCACCGAACTAAGAAGAAAAATCACCAATTTCACCAGGAGATTGATGAAACGTTAAGTGAAGCTTGGGAGCATTTCAAGGTTTACACTAGGAAATGCCCACACCATGGTTTCACATCATGGATCATCGTTCAAAGCTTCTATGATGGTCTTACTCCTACTTCAAGGGCCAACCTTGATTCCGGGGCCGTTGGTAGCCTTAAAAAGCTATCGGTGGATGATGCATACAAGATGATTGAAGAAGTGGAAAAGCACTACGCATATGGAGATGATAGAAGGCAACCTCAAGCAAAGAAGGGAGGAATCCACAATCTTAGTGCAATAGACCTTATTGCATCAAAGTTTGATATGCTAGCTCACAAGCTAGATCAAGCCACCCTTACATTTCGAAGCTCTTCTTCACAAGTCATGTCTTATGAGACTTGTGGAGGAAATGGTCACTTGTCCTCCTATTGCAACTCAACTAACCAAGAACAAGCGGCGGCCATTGGGCAAAGAAATGATCAATACTCCCAGCCCTACAATCAAAGTTGGAAACCCCAACAAAACACAGGGTTGAAGCAACAAAACCAAGGCCTCCCTCAAAACCAATACAACCAACCCCATCCACAAAACAACAAGCTCCATACTGTCACCCTAATCAAAAGGACCAAAACCAACAAAGACAACAATATAACCAACCCACTCCTCCTCCTCCACCTCCTCAAAAGACTAGCCTTGAATCCGTGCTTGAAACTTTCATGACACAACAAGCAAGAAGCAATGCGGATATGACGGCAAACATCCAACAACTCCAAGCGCATAACAAGATAATTGAGAATCAATTGGCTCAATTACGTAACAAGTTGGAAGTTTATCCTCCAATCCTAGCGGTCACTTCCCAAGCTCAATGGTTGTGAACCCAAAGGAGCAAGATAAGGCCATTACTTTGAGATCGAGGAGAGTTTATGAAGGATCGGTTATGAGTGAAGGGGATCCACAAAAGAGAGATGAGGGAGTTGTGGTGAGAGGTGAGGATGATTTTGAAAATGAAATAGTTGATGTTGAGAAAAAAGAGAAACAAAAAAGAGATAAGGGAGCCATAAAGAAAAATGAGGGAGATGAGGAAAGAATTGAAAATCCCCCCATGAAAGTATACAGGCCTCCCATTCCATTTCCTCATAGGATTGTAGAAAAGAAGTTGAATGAGAAGTTTTCGAAATTTCTTGAAGTCATGAGAGGACTTCGATTGAATATCCCCTTTCTTCATGCTATGTCACAAATGCCTACCTATGCAAAAATTTTGAAGGATCTTCTATCCAACAAGAGTAGGCTTGAGGAGAGTGCAACCATCTCCCTTCCTAATGCGGTGAGTGCACTAATTCAAAACAAGCTAAGCTTCCTCAAAAGCTTGGTAACCCCAATAGCTATGCAATACCGGTGAATATTGGAGATTTGGAAGCTATGGATGCTTTGTGTGATCTTGGGGCAAGTGTGAGATTGATGCCCTATTCTATTCAGAAGAGTTTGAAAGTTGGAGACTTGAAGTCAACAAGAATGTCCTTACTATTGGTCGACCGCACGGTTAGGCTACCTTTAAGAATTCTTGAAGATGTATCAGTTCGAGTTGGGAGAGTATTTGTGCCTTGTGATTTCATGGTGATGGAAATGGATGAAGACACAAGGGTACCCCTTATTTTGGGGAGACCATTTTGAACACTGCAGGTGTAGTAATTGATATGAATGAAGGAAGATTGACATTGAATGTGGGGGATGAGAAAATTTCATTTTCATTCTCACAAATGTTGAAAAAGCCATCGTTTGATAAAATTCATAGAATCGATGCATTAGAAAGGGACTTAAAGAAAGTTTGTTTAATGGAGATCCTTTACAAGTTATCCTAACAGGAGGCTTAGTTGAGGAAGGTAAAGAAACAAGGGGGTATGATCTTTTGCTCAACCAACCTTTAGTCCAGAATTAAATGAAACTAAAAGTGCTTAACGTGGAAGTAAATTAAGAGGGGAGGACTACGCCTTCTCATAAGGTTGAACTTAAACCCCTTCCCCCTCTACTTAAATATGATTTTCTTGATGATAGTGAGAGTTATTTTGTTATTGTCAATGCCAAGCATGATGATATCTCTCTTGAGAAACTCCAGCTAGTTGTTCTAAGGGAGTATAGAGATGTTATTGGGTACAAAATTATGACATTAAGGGGATAAGTCCCACCATTTGCATGCATAAAATTTTACTTGATGATGATCATGCTTTTTTGATTGAGAACCAAAGAAGGATCAATCCAAACATGAAGGAAGTAGTGAAAAAAGAAGTTTTAAAACTTCTTGAAGCGGGCATAATCTACCCTATCTCCGATAGTAAGTGGGTTAGCCCAGTTCAAGTTGTGCCTAAAAAAGGAGGCATGACCATCTGATGAGTGACATTTATTTCTTATTTTAGCATCTTTAGACTTTAGTTTATTTATCTCCTATTCCGGACTAGCTTAATTGTCGATAACATTTGGTGGTGTTTATTCGTTCCCCGTGGTTCGACCCCTATGCTTTCCTTATACTCGTATTAGGTTTGTATAGGTTGTATAAATTGTATTTGATCTAGGGATGGACAATTGACGATGCGTTTATTCCCTTGTCACCATCATCAAGAATGATAAGGGTGAGACCATTTCTACAAGGTCGGTCACCGAGTGGAGGATGTGCATTGATTAAAGAAAATTGAATAATTCCACCCAGAAAGACCACTTCCCACTCCCCATCGTTATCAAATATTGGAAATAGCATCACATAGTCATTATTGCTTCTTAGGTGGATATTCGAGATTCTTCTAAATCCCAATCCAACCCGAGCACCAAGAAAATACTATATTCACATGTCATTTTGGTACCTTTGCTTATCGAAGGATTCCATCTAGACTATGTAATGCACCTTCCACATTTCAAAGGTGTATGATGTCTATCTTTTCTGACATGCTTGAATCATCAATTGAAGTATTCATGGATGACTTTTCTGTTTTTGGTTCATCTTTTGACATTTGTCTTTTGAATTTAATTAAAGTGTTAAAATGATGTCAAGAGGCGAACTTAGTTTTGAATTGGGAAAAATGTCATTTCATGGTAGAGGAGGGCAATATTCTTGGTCACGTGATTTCTAGTAGGGCCAATGAAATAGATCGTGCCAAAATTGAGGTATTTGAGCGCCTCCCACCCCCTACAAATGTGAAGGGGATAAGGAGCTTTCTTGGACATGCGGGTTTTTACCGCCGGTTCATAAAGGATTTTTCAAAATTCGCAAAGCCGCTCACTCAATTGTTGGTAAATGATGCCCCTTTTGTGTTTAATAATGATTGTTTAAAGAGAGATGAATGATTAAGAGAAAATTAAAAGAATGCTAATGAATGAAAACTGATTGTAGGTGAATGTAGATGTAAATGATGAATGAAAATGGAGTTTTTAATACGATATTTATAGAGAAAATCAGCCGAAAAAGATAAATTAACAAAACAGAGTCTGACGCTCAGGAAACAGAGCTGGCGCCAACCCTGGCTAGCTGGCGCCAGGCACCAGCACTAGCACCAGGCGCCAAGCCTAGTTCCAGGCGCCAAGGCCTGGGGTTGGACGCCTAGCTCGATTTCAGCGCGTTTTCGAAAATTCGATAAGTTTACCGTACTGGAGGATAAAATAATATAATTTCTTCGAAAATGCTATTTGATTTTAATTAAAACTCTGAAAAGTCAACAAAAGTCAATTTATCAATGCTAATTGAATTAGGAATGAAAAGAACCTTCTAGAAGATTCTAGAAGACTAAAACCATTCCTAATTGCATTAGGAATGATAAATCATATTTGGCCCTCCCCTAGATCATTGGGCCGCATATAAGGCTCGAACTAGACCCAGTTTGGTAAATTGGCCATAACTTCCTCAATGTTCATCAGAATTGGGCTTATAATATATCGTTGGAAAGGTCTTTGCAATCCCCATCCAACTACACCACTACTGGACCCATATCATGGAACAACCAAACTGGATTGACTGTTTTCTTAAAATAAAGTTTTCAAAAACAAAGAGAAGAGAAAAGAAATAAAAACTTTCCGCACCACTAGACCTTTCCACACTTTCGCTTCATTCGATTATGATTCGACGTGAAAGGTACTCATCACTGGGTTTGGTTTTGGGGAGACACAAATGGGTGTCTACAGTTTGCTAGCATTTGATAGGTTGAAGGAGACATTGATTTTGGCCCCTATTATTTAACCCCCCAATTAGAAGCTTTCTTTTGAGCTCATGTGTGATGCTTCGGATTTTACCGTTGGATCCGTTCTTGGACAAAGGAAGGATAAGAAGCTCCATGTTATCTACTACACTAGCAAGACATTGGATGAAGCACAAAGGAATTACACAACCACGGAAAAGGAGTTTCTAGCCATTGTTCATTCAATTGAGAAGTTTAGGTCTTACTTGTTTGGGTCTAAAGTCATAGTCTTCACCAACCGTTCGGCCTTGAAGTACCTCTTGTCCAAGGAGGAACCAAAGCCAAGATTGATATGGTGGGTCTTGCTCTTACAAGACTATGACATTGAGATTAGAGACAAGAAAGGTGTCGAAAATGTTGTGGCCGACCATCTTTCACGGTTGCCTATCTTTGTAGGTGATCTTCATAACTTGCCAATCAATGATTTATTTCCGGATAATCAACTATTTTCTATTCTTCAAGCATCGGCACCATGGTTTTCGGACATTGAAAACTATCTATCTTGCTCTATTCTTCCTCCCGACCTCTCCTCTCAACAAAAAAGGAAGTTTCTACATGATGTTCGTCAATACTTTTGGGATGACCCCTTGCTCTTCAAACAAGGTGTTGATGGCCTTTTTAGAAGGTGTGTCCCGGATGTTGAAATTGAAGATGTTATCACAATGTGCCACTCCTCAACTTATGGAGGGCATATGAGTGCTAACAAGACTTTGGCGAAAATCTTACAATGTGGTTTTTATTGGCCCACAATGTTCAAAGATGTGTGGGGTGTGGTGAAAGCTTATGACCAGTGTTAAAGAACCGGTAATATTTCAAGAAGAAGTGATATGCCTTTGAACAACATTCTTGAGCTAGAGATTTTCGATGTATGGGGCATAGATTTTATGGGGCCTTTCCCAACCTCTTTTGGGAACAAGTTCATTCTTGTGGCCGTGGATTATGTGTCAAAGTGGGTAGAAGAGATTGCATCTCCTACTAATGATGCTAAGGTGGTGGTCAAGCTCTTTAAAAGAGTAATTTTCCCAAGGTTCGAGGTAACACGTGCCGTCATTAGTGATGGAGGTTCACATTTTGCAAAGCGGTCCTTCCAAGCTCTCCTTGAGAAATATGGTGTGAGGCACAAGGTGTCATTGGCTTACCACCCATAAACAAGTGGTCAAGTCAAAATTTCAAACAGGGAAGTAAAAATGATTTTCAAGAAGACGATGGATAGGTCTAGAAAAGATTGGTTAACCAAATTTGATGATGCTTTATGGGCCTACCACACCGCATTCAAAACTTCAATTGGCACCACACCGTACAAGCTTGTTTATGGGAAGTCATTCCATTTGCAAGTAGAACTTGAGCATCGTGCTCATTGGGCTATCAAAACATTTAATTTTCACCTTCTAAGTGCCAGTGAAAAGAGTTTTCTTGACCTCCATGCCTTGGAAGAATTAAGGTTGGATGCATATGAGAGTGCACGGATCTACAAAGAAAAGACCAAGGCTTGGCATGACAAGCATATTAGCAAAAGGGAGTTTAAAGAAGGTGACAAGGTCCTACTATTCAATTCCCGGTTGAATTTGTTTCCGGGTAAGCTTAAGTCAAGATGGAGAGGACCTTTTACCGTTAAGAAGGTGTTTCCATATGGTGCAATTGAAATCTCAAATGACAATGGTGAACCATTCAAGGTGAATGGCCAAAGAGTTAAGGCATACTTTGACGGTTTTGTGCATGAAGAAGCCAAGGTTGTTCACCTTGATGAGTTTAATGTTCCTTACTCTCAATGATCATGCAATGTCGTCAAGCTAGTGACGTTAAAAGAGCACTTCCGGGAGGCAACCCGAGTTTCTCAACCTCTCTCTCACAAACTATTATTTTCTTTCCATCTTTCTTATTATTACTAACTCTTCTCTTAATATCTTTTGTAGGTATTGATGAAGAGAAAGTAAGAAAATCATCCTTGGAAGTGAAGTAGTAGCTATAATAATAATGTTGATCATAATAATTTTATTATTATTATGCCTTAAAAAAAAGTCAGTACAGCATTAGGTCTGCACGGACGTGCAGAACATAGCACGTCCGTGAAGAGGAAGGCAGCACGAATCAGGAAGTCAGGATTGGATTTTTGAAGTTTGGCACGGAAGTGCTAAACTAAGAACGTCCATGCCGTTAATGTTGCACGTCCGTGCATAATCATGCACATCCGTGCTACCGCAATCAGGAGCAACCAGGAAGTTGTGAAAACAAAATTCATATTCGGCAAGGACGTGCCAAATTCAACACGTCCGTGCAGACATGCACGTCCGTGCCGAGTAACCCAAGAAACCCGAGTATTCAGCTCAGCTTTAAACAAAAAAAAAAGAAAAAAAATTCATTCTTTTCTTTCTCACCCACAACCCTCCTCCTCTTTCTCTCTCTAAACTCCTTTCCTCCTCCTTCTTACTCACTCAATTTTCCCTCATACACTCAAATCTGCACCCAATTTCAACAAATTTTTACAAAATCTTCACTCCTTTTCACTCTAAATCACAAAGTACTACTCCTTTTCAACATTTAAACCCAAAAATCACCCAAATTATCACACCCTAACTTGAAAACAATTGATTTGGGGGTTTTTCTTGTGGGTTGAAATTGAAGCAATTGGTTGAAGGAGTAAGCTCAAGCAAGTACATGGAAGCTTAGGGAGGTTCATTTGCGGGTTTCACACTCACGATACGCTCGGTATAATCATTCCTCTCCCTTACACTTGCTAGCTTAAGTTTGTGGTTGTTTGTGCATGAAATTACTTGAAATTTTTTTCTAATTGCTCATGAGTGAATGATAGTTGATAATTGTCAAGTTTTTGTGAATTCGAAGGTGTTTGGTGAATGTTGTGAGAATTGAAATTTTGTAAGTAAGTTTGGTGTTGTGGGGTTGATTTTTGTGAATGAAGAACATGCTTGCTTAAGTGAATTGTTGTGTTGATTTGTTTGATAATATTGCATGAAAATAGTGTTGAAATTGTTGTGAATTGCATTATTGAGATAGTCTTGGTTGTTTGGTGATTTGCTTGCTTTGTTTTAGGTGGTGGACTTAGAGCTTGAATTGATTGTGTTGTGCTTGTTGGTGTTTTGTGAGGCTTGATTTGTTGGCTTAGAGGACTTAGTACCCTTTGTGTTGTTGTAGTGATTTCCTTGCTTTGTCTTATTTGATTGCTTGCATAAAGACCAACCATGTCTCGACGAAATTGACCTAAAAACACCGACAATAGGTACCGCAACCCATCACCTCCTCCTTTCATTGATCCACCACAAGTGGATACAATGGGCATTGTTTTTAATGACCCGGACTTCTTGGCCAACTATGTTAAGAATAATAGGAGGCGAGTCAAGCCAACCAAATTCTACAATGGCGATGTGGCCGACACCTTAGGGGTGGGGAGATGTAAGAATGCTTTTCGAGGGCTCCAACCTAGGACCTTGGCTAGATTAGCACGCCCCAACCTACTAGAGGTTAACTCTTGAGTTCCTCTCCACCCTCTACGTGCACAGAGACACAACCCAAGCCCCTCGTCACATCACCTTCTACCTCATGAATGTCAACCATAAAATGACTATTGGGAGGGTAAACAAAGCCTTTGGATGGCTTACTACGGTAACCTAGACCTGGAAAATGGGTCATTCGGGTCGGGTATGGGTCGGGTCATTTCAGGTCGGGTCGGGTTATTTCGGGTTTCGGATTGATTTCGGGTCGACTAATAATCGAGTTAGGTCGAGTATCGGGTCAACACTTCAGGTCGAGCTCTGGTCGGGTCAATACGGGTTGGGTCAATTTTTGGGTCCAATTTATGGGTCAACTTCGAGTCGGGTCATATTCGAGTGATGCAATTGGTTAAATTCAACTTTGTATATATATATATATATATATATATATATATATATATATATATATTTTTTTTTTTATGAAAAACTCACTATATTTATTAAGGCTACTTTTTTCATGGAATATAGTAGTTGTTTGACTTTTATTGACCTTTTTTTTAGTGTTAGATTAAGAATCAATTCCAGGATCTCCTGAAAGTAAGAGGTGCTCTAACTAATTGAGTTATACCTCACTCTCTTATTGATCTTAGTTTTAATACTCTTATTATCATTGTCACTGTTGTAATAATTTCTTTGTATTATTCTTTTACTCCCTCTGTTCCAAATTACTCGCAACAATTTGACAATTTGCACTATTCACACATCTCACTTTGACCATTATTTTAGCTATTTTATGAAAGTCAATGTAGTCATGTAAGATGTTGTTGGGTCTATTAACACATCTCACTTTGGGTTTTGAGTCTATTTGGGTCAATTAATTCAAGTTAAAGGTCGGGTCAACTTCGGGTCTCGGGTTAGTTCAGGTTAAATTCAAGTCAGGTCGTTTCGGGTCTCGGGTCAACTTCGGGTCGAGTCATCTCGGGTCGGGTCATTTCGGGTTGGGTCATTTCAGGTTTCGAGTCAAGGTCGGGTCAATTCCACTTCGGGTCAAGTATGGGTCGGGTCGGGTTGATTTGAGTTCTGGGTCATTTTTGGGTCACTGGTTTCGGGTCGATTTTGGGTCATTCGGGTCAGGTCATCGAGTCTGGGTTAGGATTGCCAAGTATACGGGAACCATAGGAGCCAAGGGCAAGTACCCCCGAAACTATGATTCGGGGGACTTTTGAAGACGACTTACGGGCCTATTTGATTACAACCCTAGGTTCGATAAGGCCACAACCCTTATTCACCCCGCTTTCAGACTTTCACAGCGCACCATCGCAAACACGACATTTGCTAGAGGTGACAGCTCAGGGGTAGCGTCAACTAGGGAGCTTTACTTCCTTTGGCACTTGAGCGATGAAAACTCGGCCTTAGATGTTGGGGCTTGGTTTGTGGACCTCCTTGAGGCATTTGCCACGGGTTCCGGCAACATCACCATAGGTGGCATGATCACCATAATTGCTGCTTTTCTTGATCTTGATTTTGCAGATGAAGAGGTTTGTCCTGGGCCGACCTAGTTGGACATGATGTCCTTGGGAACAATGAAAGGGATCAAGGATGTACAAGGACCCTACCCCTTTGTTTGGTTAGTAAGTAGGCTTCCATACACCTACCTCCTTAACCCTCGAGAGGACCGTCATTTATGAAGAGAGTAATTGGGTCTTTACCAAGAACTTTCCTTGGGCTCCCTACGCAGAGGGAGAGGAAAGAGAAGAGCAAGAGCAGGAACAACAACAAGAGCACCTGGAACAATAATTCTAACAACAACAATTATATCAACAACAACACCATGGATATCAACAAGGGTACCAAGTTCAAAGTGTGGGTAAGGACAACCCACACCTTTCATTCAAGCAACAAATGTAGCTCATGAATGCAGGCTTCAACCGCATGTCCACCGATTTTGAGACTATGAGAAAGTCTCACAAAGACATGAGGTCCTCCTATGACAATATGAGGACAAGCTTCGAAGGTCTTCGATCAAAATTGGGTGAATTTCAAAACATGTACCGACATTGGTACCCGGAGGGCTCAAGCTCCCAAGGCGGCCCGAGCCAATGAGTTAGTATTCCTTTTTACCTCCTCTTTTTCTTATATTGTTTTAACATTAGGGACAATGTCCATGATAGCTTGGGGGGAGTCATTGGCTCATGTGTTGGTTCATATGTGTTTTTGTGTTGATGGTGTTGATTTTGCATGTTGTTTGTTCGTTTCCCCTAACATCCAAACCCCTTAAATCTAAAATTGCTCCCTTTGAAATCCAACACCCTAAATCCAAATTTGTTAATTTGTGAATACTTCTCCTCTCTCTTTATTTAGATGTATAGTTATGCTTAGCTTAGTTTATCTTAACTTTGCAATTATTCTTGCTTTATAGTAACAAAAAAAAAAAAAAAAAAAAAAAAAGGCCAAGGATGAGACTTAAACGACGATGCTTATATGTTTTGCTTGCTTGACTCTTGAGTGATGAGTAAAAGTTCTTTTAGAAAGGTGTGTGCAAGAGTTAGGGTCATATAGAGGTCTTTTAATCTTGATTGCATTAGAGTATATGAAATAAAAACCAATGAATGCTCAATTGCACGTCTAGCATAGGATATTGTCAAATTTGCCAAAAGTAGGATATGTTTGAATCAATTTGCAGTCCCTTGTGCACTTGATGTGCCCTCTTTCCTTCCCAAAATGAAACTCTATTAGGGAATTGGTTCTATTTGTATCTTGTGTAATAAATGGCATAATAAGCCACATGTTTCGAATAAAAGAAAGAGCCGCTCACAATTAAAAGAGGCAAGGGCATGTATGTTGAAAAAAAGGGAGATAAAAAAAACTCCTCCAAAATTATCAAAATTTTCACTTTTTCTAATCTTGAGGTCAATTTGTGGATGTCTGCCACGCATTGTCTATTTTGATGTTTCTTGTGTATTTCCCGAGTTAGAGTGTAGTTAAAGGGGCTTGGGAGTGCTTTTTGGGAGGTGGACTTGCATTTTGAGATTTTATAAAAAAAAAATAAAAAAAGGGCTTGTTGCAACTTTTGGAATATCTAGACGTGCCCTAATGAACTAGTAAAAGGCCTAAAGAAGTATCCTATTGCAACCTTTCTTAGTTCTCCTCTCTACCCCCAACTCATGTGCACATTTGTATGATTGGTAATTCTTGAAAGTCGTTCACTTGTCTTGCTTGTGATTTATATCCCGATGAGTTAACTTAGGTAATAAAAACATTGGTTTTGATGTGTTTTGATTACTTTGGTAGTAATGATGTGGTTTGATAGTTTTGTTGTGGTTTTT